TCCTCCCTCCTCCCTTTCCTTCAATCGCGCACTAACTGCCACTAACCTATCCAAAGCAAAGCTTGGCAAAGCAAAGCACGTTAATCTATAGGCTGTTGACTGTGTTTCTCTTTTCCAAAAATATGACATAATGGCTGTTATTACTGAGGTCTTTTGCTCTCTGTTCTTTTTTTTTTAACTTATCTACATTTTGGTTGAGAATTAATGTCATATTTTTAATTTATTTTCAGCTATTTCACAATGGATTTTGCTTCTGACGATGGCACGGATGGCACAGCAGCTGCAGAGCTTGACATCTGTGATTTAGAATTGAATGAAAATGACCTTGAAGATGAAGATATTGAAATTGAAGATTCATCCAGAAAAGGTAAATGCAGGCTGAGAGACCCAAGCAACCCTCCTGCCTGCACGCAATTCTCATGTTACTTTATGAGTTTTTGGTCCTACAACAAGCTCTGGTTTTCAGGAAGCTCCTCACTCAACATTGCAGTAAAAATTCAAAGCAAGGCAGCTGAATTTTTAGCCTATGTGAAAGATATTTGCAAAACCACAGAAATTGCCATTGGAAGAATTGTCATTGAAGTGGATAGTCTATTCAAATTGTATAATGATTTTCTGAAGGTGATGTTTGGACGTTGGGTCCACCATGACTTGTTTTGTGCATCGTGAGTAGTTTGTTTTTTTCTTTCTAAATGAGATAATTTAAGCATTTGCTGTATCTAATTTTCAGACCAAATTATTTGAACTTTCCGATGGTGATGCTGTTCAGAAAAGTGACATGGAGTCACTCTTTTCACTCTTAGATCAGCAGTCTCTTTTTGAAGGAGTTCAAACACTCTACAAAAGGGAGAAATATAAGAAAGAAAAATGGAGTGCATTAATTCCGAAGAAGGTTGTTTTGGAGTGGAAACGCATTGTTCTTCATGGCAGAGTGAGGGAGGTGCCACTTCATTTTGGTTACTACATAGACTTTCTTGCTCAGCTGGAAGCAGTTCTGCAATGTGACGATATTCTCGAGTGCTTGGACAGTCAAAAGAATGTTTCTGCATCTCACCTGAATAGCATTATTGATGGGCAGTCATATCAATCTCATGAAGTTGCCTTAAAATATCCTGGTGCTTTAGCTTTTGTCTTTTATGTGGATGATGTTAATCCTGGTGATACCCTCTCCAGTTACCAAATTAGCTTTAGGAACTACTTATGGACGCTTGCTAACATTCCCCCAGAATTGAGATCATCAATTCGTGCCATTAATATGTTTGCCATTGCAAAAACTGAAGTTGCAAAGATGTGCAACAATAAAGCTTTTCTCAGTAATTTTACATTAGCTATGAACAGATTGAGTAGTGATGAAGGAGTCACATTCATCATAAAAGGCAAACCAAGAGTTTTTCATGGGTTTTGTTTGTGCGGCGTGGGTGACTATCCTGCCAGTGGAAATATTGGTGGTTTTAAAGAATCGTCATCAAAAGCCAAACGCCCCTGCCGCCAATGTATGATTCTTCAGCCTGAACTAAGCTGGAAATATGATGAGTCAGAGGTGGTTTTACGCAATAAAGATTCGCATGAGAGGCATCTGCAAGCTTTGGAAGGTTGTGAACAAGGTAAATATAATAAAATTAGGTTGTACTATTTAGGACTGTATGAATGAACATATATACCCTTCTCTGTAAAATTTTGTTTGTTGTTGCTCTTCATTTACAGAGAAGGGAATATGTCCATCCAAAATACAAAACCTTTTATTATATCTTTTGAAATTCACCAATTGTATTCTTGGTTCCTACCTTTCTTTTTCAGTGCAGCAAGTAGATGTGGAAGAGGAGGAGGAAGATGTAGCAACTGCTGAGGAAAACCCGTCAGTTTTTTATGGAGTGAATTGCCGAAGTCCTTTGCTTGACCTAAACTACTTTGATGTTACGGTATGTTTACTTTTACTGCCAAATTGTTTGGTTGAAATATAGGAATAAATTTCAGCAGCTTTCACAATTAAGATTAACAATGTAAAATAGATCATGAAAATTTACATGTTATTTTAGAAGTTAATTGTGTAATTAATTATACTTTTCCTAATTTACAGATTTACTTATGTTTCAGGTATCACTTCCCCAAGACATTATGCATCTCTTTTTGGAAGGAATTTTATCTACTGGCTGCCGTTTGCTTCTTCACCATGCTGTTAGAGACCGTAAGCTCTCCCTTGCGGCAGTGAATTCATTTTTGATTAATCATGACTATGGAAGGTTTAAGTCTGATAAACCATCTAAAATCAAACCAGAACACTTGAATAATGGTCTAAGGCAGACCTCCTCTCAAATTCTAATGCTAAGCTTTATAGTACCCTTCATTGTAAAAGGGCACTGTGATAGAGTGAAGCTTAATAATTTTGTGCTCTTGTTAATGATTTTTGGTGTCTGTTTGTCTCGCCAAGTGACACTAGACCATGCTCTCCTTATAAGGAACATGGTAAAAGATTATTTGCCTCAGTTTAATAGTCTTTACCCTGGATCGTTTGTGTCAAAACATCACTTCCTCATTCACCTGCCCTCTCAGCTAGTCGCTTTTGGGCCGCTTCCAGAGACATGGGCTATGAGGTTTGAATCCTATCATGCCCAGCTCAGTAGGCTGCACAGCATCCTACACAATGCCAAGAACTCAATATTCTCCCTAATTACCAGAGTGTGTTCAAAACAAGCCTTGCTACTTCACTTACACAAGTCAAATTTCTTAACTGGTTCAGTTATTGAAATGAAAACACTCAAGATCAATATTCCACTGGCTGATGTGCCTTTCAAAGAATGCATATTATCTTGTGTACGAGGTATCTCTGAAGAAAGCACTGTTTCTGAACTATCCAGCTTGAAGTGGTATGGATCGAACTTAGAAAGAGAAAGTTTCATCAATATACAGGAAGATTCCTTTGCTGTTGTGACAAACATTTATGCTGTTAATAAGGAATATGTCTTAATCTATCGAAAGTTGAAGACTATGTGTTTTTCTGTTGATCTGAATGCTTTTGAAGTGGAATGCCCTAATGTGAGCTCCTTTGCTGCAATGAACATAAGCAAGAACTACAACCTCTCTCCTGAAATGCATTTTAAATTTGAGGGAAGAGAATACATTGTCATGCGTCAAAACAGCTCTCCCAAGTATCATTTGCTCCGAGCTTAAAACATTTCTTCTTACCACATTGTTATGTGTATACTTGTATTCTGCAAAGCAATCTTAACTTTACTGCTGAGCTGTTTTATTTTATGACGGTTTTTACCATACATGTATTTACTAAATATTAAGGTTTTTAAATGAAACATTTTTTATAAAGATTCAGGTGAAATGTCCAGTCCTCCAATTTGAAAGAATTCATTGTTATGCAACAAAACAGCTGTCCCAAGTACAATTTGCTTTGAGCTTTGCTTTCTTTTCTACCACATTGTGATGTATGTTAAGTTATCTACTTGTGTTCTTTAAAGGCAATCTTAACTATACTGCTGAGCTGTTATAATTTATGACTGTTTTTACTATGAAAGTATTTACTTTAAATGCTTTTATGAATGAAAAATTGTATTTTAAAGGTGACATTTTTAGTCCTCCAATTATGTTTGCCTCATTTTTATCAGATTAAAAACTTAATTTGAGTATTTTTGTGTGATGCTTAATTTAGCATCAAACCCATGGAGACTCAGACCAAATCACAGACGAACCATCACTTACCCACATGTTATAAGCTGAAGCTCAATAAATACTAAATTTAATTGCAGATTTCTTTGCCTCTCTTAAACTAGCTCTACACGTTCAGAAAACCAATTACACGATTCTAAACTCTGATTCAATTGACTTGAACTTCAATCTTAGTTTTCTTAAATTAAGCCAACTTCGCTCTCAAAATTCTTAGACATTACCATCTCTGATAGACTACATCGTGTAAACACCAGATTCTAGTACCATTTAAAAATGGCAATAGAGGTCTTTTCGTACTTAAACAATTGATAGGGGAGTAAAATGTAAAAATACAATTAAAAGAAGAAAGGATATGCACCAAAGCTACAACTTTCAGTTATTTTTATTTAGGAGAAGTATTGGACACGCAGTGACCAGTTCATAACATCATGCTTTTAGATCAGACGTCAACATCTCCAAAATATTGAACAATCTTGTCCGACGGTATCAGTGCTGAAAGGCCATCACTGCAATCCTGGAAATAATGAAGACAAGTTAGCTGTTCACATTGCAAGTAAACATGACTTAATTGTAGACTAAATCTGTTTAAAACTACAATCTTACCTCCCAACTCTACTGGCTCTCCAAACATCCAACTGACCACAGCAGCCAAGTTTGCGTGGCAATCCTTGAAGATTGGAAAGTGGAGAGGGATGTTTATGCTCCAGAATTAAGGGGCTTCCTCGTTGAAGATTCACTTGCAAACCATGAAACAAAAATAATGAAAAGACATAATATTAGCAACAATTGGTAGGAAATTTTCGAGGTTAACCAATAATAGGGTTGGAGAAACAACAAGCACAATATATAAGAAATGCAGTCGCACGTAATTCAAAGAGTACTTGTACGGAAATAAGGCACAGAGTGGGAGAAGGTTTTCATTAGCTATGAAATAGATACGAAGCAGTTAAGAGAGAGAATAGTGTCTGCAAAGCGGCGTGCAGTTGATAATCAAACGCAACTGTCGAGATTTGTACTCACAACTTCACGACGCATGGAATTTAATGTACCATTACATCGGCTTAATTTCGAAAACAGCGGCCCAAACGCACAAGAAACCCCAGGTAATTCTTTCTATAATAAAGTAGATCAGATCGATAAATAAACTTTGCACAGATACGCCATTTTGATTCTTGCGTAGTTGCGTCATCGACCGTCGGCCACCGTCGGTTGTCGGTTGGTGGATCGGCTGCTGCCTCACTTCACAAAGTCGCCCGTGTGGACGATTCTGCCAATAATCAAGTAACAACAAAAACCAAACAAGACATTCTAGCAGAAACCTTTAGGAGCTGTGTGCCCATTTGTGTCTGTGACAAGTTCTTTAAGGTGTTTTCTTTGCACAATCATGTCAATAAGCGACTCAAATCCTATTTGTGTAAAGCTACATTATTTTAAATGCCAACATGTTTTGTGGGATCGATTTACTTGGCAAGATCCCTTCTGGAGACATGTTTCTTCAAATGGACTGGGACCTCCAATAACATAGGTTAGTGCTGCAGATAGGTTAAAATGGAAGTGAAACCATGAACATTCACACTTAGTATGACATTTATCATAGTAGTTGATGTTCTTGCATTCACAGCATGACATCAAAGACACAACTTAAAAGTTGAGTTGTGGTTATAGGACATTTATTTTTAAAAAAAACATTTTCACTGATAGTGTAATACGATTCTTGCTCACTTGGGAATGGTAAGGAAATGATAGCCTATAAAAAGAGTATGTTTTCCCCAACCATCATACTGGTACAAGATAATTTGTCTTCTACTCTAAGACCGGTATTGGCTATCCAAATATTTGTAAGTTTCACGCCCCCTCGCTCTGGATTTAAAAGTTTAGCGCCTTTATCTCTCCTTTCTTCGGCATCAAACTGTTAGCGCCTTTAGCCATCCAACGGCTTTCCAATGACCTTTTAGCGCCTTTCCAAAGGCGCTAAGATTTAGCACCCCAGGAAAGGCGTGAAAATGAGGCTTTGATTTTAGCGCCCCAGGAAAGGCGTTGTACA